CAGTTCAGAAATTCACCACAGAGATGTTGCAAGTAGAGAGCCAGGAAAAGAGTTGAGTATAAAACACTTTTAAAACCAGGCATCACATTTCTCTATAATGGTGGATAACCTCAATAATTTTCCCTACCTTCTCAGAGAACAAAGGATATCATACTCATGAAAATTACACCTCAGCCCTTCAAATGCTGCTGACCCTGTTATACAGCCTAATCAGAGATGAGATTTGTTTGAATGAACTTGCTGCAGTAATGAACTATCATGCCACTGGGCATTACTCTGGAAACAGCTTCCCAGTAATGTTACTAAAATTTTGATGTGTTTTCCCTATGGATTTTAGTGGCTGCAGGTGATTATGGGATACTGTGACGTAGCAAAAAATTGCAATTTCTTTTTGAGACCAGGTGGAAGTGTTCTTCAGGTTGTGTTGCTTTCAGAAGGGAGCCTTTTGCTGGTTAGAAAAAGTGGTTGGTACTTTTGTTACGTGAGTTTTGCAGTTTTCTCTGTGGCACCTTATCCACGTTACTGGGGCAACTGTGGCCTGAGACTTGTCTGCCTTATGGATGGGCAAATAATGTGAGCATTAAAGAGGCGTGCTGGGGTCAGAGGTTGGCTGATGTTTGTTTAATTGAGTCCTGTGGCACAAGCTGGAAAACCCTCAGCAGGGAGCATTGTCATTCAGGCCATAAGAATCATGAAGGAGGTAAAATAATTTGAGTCTTGCATCTGGTGGATCTTTAGGGTTTGGTACACCGTGATTTAAGCTGCTTTTTCAATTTCCTCATCCTAAACATGCTAAATCTATTCTTGTGCAATGGTGAAACACAAACTCCAGGCCCTATAATGAAAGATAGCTACTACTGTGTTTCTATTTTTGAATTATAATAAGATAGATTGTGCAGTGCTTTAGCATTTCCCTTCACATCCAGTTTATGGGGAAAAAAAAGAAAAAATAAAGTAAAATGTGTTTAAGAAGTTTTCTTCAGTTTAAAACAATTCTGTTCCTGAATGACATGGCTGGCACAAATCACTGATGGACATGAATGCAGAACGATGTGCTGAGTTTGCAGTGAAAGCTGAAAAGGAAACGGGTATTCCTGGGCAGAGAGGTGGGAATTTCCCAGTGTGCACAGAGTGCCAGTGCGTGCCAGGAACAGCAGAAGATCTTTAATGCACAGAAGGGATTTAATGACTTAATGAACCTGCTGTACTGAATCAGTCAAAGCCCAGCATGCAAAGGTTTTAGAAAAACATGCTGACTTCTGGCAAGAACTGCTTATTTACTGGACTTCACTTATTTTATGGGCCATGATAGTTCATCACTTTCACATTATGTATGAGGATAATTACCAGAATTTCAGTGCAGTAGCTGCCTCTTTATTTTCTGGAAAAAGTTCATGTATATACAGAAAAAAAGAGCTCATTTATACACATGATTTCCCTTAGAATACCCAAAAGCCTGAGGATGTTTTACCCAAGTGATCTCCCTGTCGGAATTTAATTTCACTAATAAATGAATATACTGTAGGCTATACCATCCAGGAGAATATTAATAATGATAATTGTGAGAAAAAACAGAAGTATTTTAATGTATCATAAAGGTCAGAACCAAGTGATCGCCAACAATATCTTAGCATAAGTAAGGCTGCATATAAAAATGGGTTTGAAATTCTGCACATCCTCCCCCTGCATAAGGCAGAATAGATTCCTCATTTCCAGTTGAGCTGGGACAATTTATAGCATCTGGCAGCTCAGCTATGCACATTTTAAATGTATAGATTCAGAAGGGAATATTATTTTAAAAACATGCAAAGCATTGTTTTCAGAGAAAAGGAAGCAAAAGTTATGTATTACAAAAAAGTCAGACATGTCTCTGTTTCAGTTTTAGAAACCTGGCCTATATTCCTGAAGTAGTTTGGAACCACAGGCTTGCTTCCAAGGGGAACACCCTGCTCCCTGTGGGGAAGGATTTATGATTTTACTCAGGATGTATGAAACGCGATGATTTTGGCTGGAGTTCAGGAAACAGAAGAGGGGAGCAGAGTCTCCATTCATTTACACCCCTGCCTGTTGTTAGTGAAGTTTTAATGACAATGAACAAAGGCAGAACGTGGGTTGCAGGATGGGAACTGTGTGCTTTGTAAAAATGGCCAAAAATCAAATTGCTTCTGTGAGCAGGAGCTGCTGCTGCTGGCAGAGCTCTGAAAAACAAGGCTGCAGCTGAAAACAACAGCAGATTCTGAGAGCCCCCGTAAGGGACCTTCCTTCCAGACCCTGAGTTCATGTTCTCTCTGACCTACTGAAATGATCTGTTACAATACAGTATGAACTCAACCTTTGGAAATAGAAGCAGCCAGTAGTGTTTCCAAAATCTGTGGATGTGCAGACATGTAGCTGTATTCCCGGAATATGCAGGAACTTTTCACCCCCTGAGCTGTACAAATGGACATCTGTGCATTTTGTGGGAAGCTGCTTGATGTGGATTTTTTAAAACCTAAGTAAAGTTCACAGTATCCAGTCATGTGAAGGAAATGCTTCCCACTGTTCCTTCTCGCTGATAGTTTAGGGTTATCTAACACATGGCAACTTTCCTTTAGTGAGAGCAGTGTGTGTGGGGAGAATCCCTATCTGAAAGAAGTAGTGCTGAGCTTACATCCATTGCCTTGCACAAGGGAATTGCTCAGTACCCCTGAGCTTCAGGAGCTTGGCCCCTGCAGCATCCTCTTGCTGTGCCTTCCATGGGGCAGCAAGCTTGGGATGTAGCTGAGGCTGGCCAGGAGGGAGGCTTAAACCATCTGTGCACTCTGGCAAGCCCCAGCTGCTGCAGCAGCCCTTGGGAGGATGTTGCAGCTGAAGACAATTTTGAACAGTCTGAAGCAGCTCCGAGCTGCTGAGTGGGGTCCCTGCAGGCCCTTGCCTGAGATGGAAAGTCCAGAGATTCTTGTGGATCGGCTGTGGGTGGTGACCAAGTATCTGCACTGAAATACACCGTCAGTACCTTGAAAAGAGAGACACGGGCCTTGCTGGGTGGGAACAAGGCCCCTGCCTGTCATCTGAAGACATCTGCATTTTGTAAGCAAGGCAATAACCTAATGAAACACTGGAAGCAGCAGATATTGCCTGGGAGGCTGAAAGTGAGAAGGGAACTCATGAGCTGGGTTCCACCTGAGATCCGTGAGAGCCTTGAGGTCATTGATGAAGGTGTCTCGACTTGAAACCCTAAACTTTGTTTGGGATGTGTTGTGCACCAGAATAGTCAAGTATGGAGTGATATATTGGCATTTTATGCAGATGTAAGAGCTGCTCTGAAGGGGGACAAGTTTACTATTGAAATGGGTTTCTTTGTGATAGAAATAAAAATAAAATGCTTGGCTTGTTTCATGCCATAATATAGATTGAAATAGTCTCCATGGCCTCAGAGAGAGAGAGGGGGCTCATACCCACCACAGATATTTAATGTCAGCTATCATATCACATTTTTCACATGGTATTCAACACATGCACATTGTGGATCTATGATGAAGGCAAAGCTTCCATGGCATCAAACTGGTCAAAATGCAGCAGCATGCCCCTGGGAAACCAGAACATCGCCACTACAAGTGTTAACCATTGGAAATGAAAAATTTGAGACTCTCACTGTACTTAGCTGCTCATGACTTTCTGCTTTCTCATGTACTAATACTCCTAAAACATTAAAATATCAAAATGTAATTACAGAGTAGATTCTTGACTTCCTCTCAGCTGGAATATACATCCAACTGCTTTGTTAATATTGCCATTCAGGTACAATTTAAAATCAGCAGAGAAAGTCATTCCAGAACCTGCACCAGAAGGTCACACACTCCCTTTGAAAGCACTGATACTTCCTTTTGTTCACTCTTATGTATCTGATTACAAATTACTAAATCTTACTGCTATTTGAGAACTTTTAGATTCTAATCAGTACTTTGATGAATGTACAGCACAATAATGCAGATGAGTGATGTCACTCTTTAAGCACACAGCAGCGTGCACAGACAAAAAAGTGGAGAAACCATTCAAAAGCTCTGGGACCTTTGTGATCTGGGAGCTTCCTTTGTAACCCATCCCGACTGTAAATTGTTGCCTAACAACTTGACATTGTTAAAGTGTCTAATTAAACCTTAAAAAAAAGCCCCATGCAAATACAAGATGTTCATCTTAGGTTATGAAGGGTTGCCTTTATGTTGGTAAAATGGAATGAAAATCCAGGATAAGGAAATGTTACAGAAGTTGACTTGAATAAATAAGAAGGAAACATGAGTAAGTTCAACAATGTCAGCATTAAAGAGCTTTTCTTTAGGAACTAGGTAACTTCATAATGCTTTGTGCTACAGCATAAGAGACTTTATTAAATGAAATACAGGTAGACATCACAGCCTTTCTTCATGTAATAGAAGAAAAACAATGTAACCAGGTGTTAAAAGATTTTTAAAAGGCTCTTCATAAAATGAAATGAAACCAAATGGTCAACATGAAAATCATAAAAATAAACATAATCTCTGTTGTGTTTCTGCTGCAGGTGCCATGGTCCTGATCTGTTCTTTTGGTCTGTTTAAAACACTTTTATTCAGTATTTTCATTTGGTGTGAAAATTCTATAGGACTATTCTTAGTTAAACCAGTGCTGAAGGATGTGAGGGCAGTGCTATGAATTTAGGAAAGGGAAGAAATGCAGAGGTCTGCTTCTGATACCTCTTCAACACCATCTGGCAAGGGAGGATGCCTGTCCTTTCTGATAGAGTTTTTATAATTCTTTGCCTGTGTGGTTATACTTCATGAGGTCAATATTCTTTTAATGTGTATTGCAAAGGAGAGACCTTAGTTTAAAACATGCACCATTAAATTAGGATAACTGGGGAATTTCCTGTAAGAAGAACTTTCCTGTCACCTCACACTGTGTCTGGGTAGTAGTTTGTTATGTGTTGTACCTCTTCAGAGGTGCTGCTACCTTTTAATAATAACCTTCTTCCTTTTCTCTGCCAGGGACTTCTGACACTCTCAGCTGAAGTACAAGAAAAGGACTTCACACATCCGAAGTACAAGAAAAGGACTTTTCCCTAATTTTAGGTAATCAATGGTGTTTCTTGGTTGTAAATGGGGTTAAGTGATCTTGTTGTTGAAATAGTGTAAAAATACTTAATCACTTGCAAGTCTGCCACCAGAAGTGAACACATATTTGATGGTTCAGGTTCTGATGATAGTTATTAATTCAGTGCTTATTTTCAGCTCAAGAATATATAAACCATCTTCACTGCTTCACTCTTGGAAGTTAAGCCTGTATCTCTTTATTTTCCTATCCCCTTCTTTATAAGTGTGTATATATACATTTCTACTACTGCAATTGCCCATGGTGTTTTATCTGGGAAGCCCATTGTACAAACTTAAAGCTTTTCCCTGCTTAAAGTAGATTTTTCTTGCAATGTCACTTTGATTATGGCAGGGTCCTGTCTTTTCAACACTTAGGCATGTTGTGTCACCACATGATTAACATTTAAAGCTGCTTTAGCAGTGAAAGTCAGTCTCACTTACATACTTTTCCCCCTTGTTGATCTTAATATGGGAAGTCACTATCCTCTAACTGGACAAATTTGTTTCAAAATGAGCTTGAAATGTATAGGGGTCATAGCAACTGTTTCAGTTCATATCATTCCCCCTTCTTCCTCTTCTGCCATCATCTCTAATACATGTGATGCACTTTAAAAGATCCTGTGAATAAGATAAGCTGGAAGAAGTCTCCAGTAATTTTGAAAGGGATCAGGGAGTCTGAAACATTGGAAGGGGTCACCTTGAATCTGTGTAAGTATTAGAAAGGGAAGCATGCCAACCCAGATGGTCTTTCTTTATACTTTTTATGCTATAAGAAGGGGCATTACTGTTGCTTGCATGGAGGGGTTTTTATGATCAAGAGCAGAAGAAAAAGATTTAGAATTGTTAATATACTGCGTGAGTGCTTAGCCATTTATATTTACAGTAATTGCTTCTGGAAAAAAAAAAGTCCTTCTCCTGCCAAGTGCAGGAAAAATAAAGGCTGATTGAATTAAGTCTGGGAACCAGTTTGATTAGAAACTGAAACAAATCTCCTAGGACTCTAGAAACCCAGTTCATTTGTGGCATTCCTTCCATACCCTAATGGGTTCTGATGCTTGATACTGAATGATAAGAAATATTTGTTTCTGAAAACAGCTGTTGTGGGTTTGGTAGTTTTGAACCGCTTTTGAGAGCTGAATGTAAACCATAAGTATGGGAAAATGCAGGCAAGTCAGATTGCTCCTCCAGATAGGACTGGAACCCATGGTCATTGCTTCAAAAATGTTCACAGAAAAGTAGTAGAATTACACCTTTCACTTTTGGAAAGAAAAGAAAGACCACCTTTATTCTGGTGAGGCTGTACAGTGTCTGTAACATGTAATGTGTGCTCTGTGACTTACAGTAGGTGCTGGGTGGTACCACAGATCAGCATTTTGGTGTTTTCTGAACACTACCCTGTGCCATTATGCTGGGATGGTGCTGGCATTGCTTCAGAACCTGATTAAAAGAAAAACATTTCAGTTCTGCACTTGTGTTAACATTACTCAGGCCTCCAAATGCTTGAAAAACTATGGCCCTGCTTTCTAACTTTTCCATCCGTCATTAAAACTTGCAAGGGATGCTTGGCTGTAAGTGCCTTGCAGGGTTTGGGGCCCTGCACCTTTAGCATGGTTTCAAGTGCAAACTTGAAAATTGATTTCTTACAGCATTTTGTGGGGCACAAGTTGGGAGCTGAGAGCAACAAACTCCTTTGGTCATGAAGATGAGCTTCACTTCACTCCTATTGTTTCCAGTCACCACAGGTAAGTTAGGTGTGAACTCCTTGGGCCATCCCTAATGTACCTTACAGGCTGAAGACTTCTGTGTGTCACATTCCCTGAACAAGCTTTGTAGTTGTGCACATTTTTTTCCTTTATCCCTAATTGTAAAGATGGTATTTAAAAAATAAGTTCTGTAGTGACAAACGCATTTCATAAGTAACTCTGTTTTGCAGGTAGCTCTTCAAAAATGATGAAATTAACAATAATTACCATTTTGTATAATGTATAATTATCTATTATTTACAGCATAAAGAGTGAATAGTGGAAGTAAAGATCATGTCATAACCTGCAGTATGAAGTGCTAGAGAGGAGCACCTTTTTAGTGTGGTTGCATTTTTGATCATTCAGAAATTGTGGGAAAGTGTTTCTAAAATACAGCATGGGCAGACATTGAATTTCAAGTTGGATTTTGTGAAGCAGACAACACAACAATGAATTAACACTGACTTAATTTTAAAAATATTTAAACACCTGCTTTTTGGTATCAGCTGATCATAGTAGAGTCTTGTTATTGGACTATTTTTATGCCTTTTGGCCTATTTTATACCAGGACTGAACAATGTAAATTTAGCCCATACTTTGGAAAAAAGTCTTCACCCACTTTGATGTTCAATGGAATGATATTTGATAATTTTACAACACTTGCAAAATGCTATTTTTTTTCCAGAGAAAAGTGTGTAAAGAACTGTGTGCATAAGGAGTCCAGGGGCAGTTTGCATACACAAATTTTGTGCAAATAGAATTAAAAACCCCCATGTGGTGTAAGCTTGAAGTGTAATGCACAGACACTCTATGTGTAGCTGTGAAAAAAAATCTTTTTCTTACCTGGGCTCCTTAGAACAAATTCATCCTGTTACACGAGGGTGATACACTGAAATCTATTTTATCTTTTGCCTTAGCAACACAAAACTTCTACAAAAAAAAAAAGGAAATTGGACGCTTTTGGATTATAAACTTTTCCAAAACATTGGACATAAGCATATATAATTTATTGACTGTATTCAGGAAGTAGATGGAATGAAAATTTGATGAATGAATACATTTAAATGATGGTTATATGACATTTAGCAAATATTTTTGTGACACTAATCTGGGGAGCAGATGGGAGGGATGGAGGAGGGATATAGCTGATATTTCAGTGCATTCTTGCACATTTTCTGTGGTTTCTGTTTGGTTTGGTTGTGTGTTTGGTGGGATCTGCTGCATGGCTCCACAGTCACTCTGATTCTATGCCCAGAGCATTCTTGGGTGCACTTGAAGATTTTATGGCTGTTAGTTAAGAATATAGGTTACCTCACCTTCCTGAAGGAGCCCAAATAATTTTTAGAGGGTTCTGTGGACATGAGTTCAGTCTCAGGCTTAGGAAAAAGAAAGGATTCATTTCACCCTGGAGACTGAGGAGGAAGGAAGGAGGCTGAGAAAAGAGAGGACAAGGGAGCAATGGAAAGATGGACAAGAGAAAGTGAGAGAAAACATCAGGTCTAAAGAGGAGTATGAATGGAGGGAAAAAATTGCAGTCAGGCATTGTTTTCCTTTGCTTTAAATGCCCCATAAACAGAACAGTCAACAGGCAGACAATTATAGCACCAGGCACTTGAGATTACATTAGGGTGCAGAACAAGCTTTGCTCTCCATGGTTTATGATATCCTCTGAACCCTCTGGAAGGATAAATGATATAACTTGAGGTGACTCATACAGGAAAGCAGATAATCAGTGGTGTGCCATAATGCAAGTGAGAAAAAGACAAAATAGTCAAAGAGTGCTTACACTGTGTTACTTTTATCTTCTGATATTGTTTATCATATTGGTATTATCATGATTATTTGCTAATGTTATCATATCACCTAATGACAAAAATTCCAGGCTTGGAGCCAGGATCCTAGACAAAACATCCTAATGCTTAAGGCAGTTTCTCCCTTTGCTGGTTATTAAATTGTTTCTGTGAATGAAAATAATGATAACAAGGGAAAATGTACACCATGCCAGGACCAATTTCCTGCCACACCAGGAGTGATGCACACAACAGCCTCCTGCAGCTGGAATGATGCTCTGGGATGGAGCGAGGACCTGAGGAGTGTGGCTTGACTGACCTCTGTGTGTTGTTGGCACTGAGATCTCAGATGCCTCATTTAGTCCTCCAGGCTGCAACACCTTCCTGCATGCTGAAAAATGAAAATGCAGGAAAATAGGTGTGGCAGGGCAGGGAGGTAGGTGCTCAGGCTGAGGTTTCAGTATGGATTTTCTGTAGGGATATCAGTTTCATGGCAAAGTTAAAACCTTCCCATCCATATCTGCATTTTACTGCCTTTTCTCTTCCTGTGCTTCTACTTATTAAGTTATGCTAAAGGGTACAGAGGAGACACTTGATGAAAATAGAGTGCCCTGGTTTTTCCAAAAAAATACTAATAATTAAAAAAACCCTATCATCTGCAGTTTTATGGCTAACCTTGATTTATGTGTCATATTTTTCTAAACCCCTTTTCTTAATCCTTTTGTAGGCAGACTTGACATTTCCCAGAATTAGCTAATGCTATACCAGTAAAAACGTCCCTTGAAAAAGGAAAATATAAGGAACTTTTCTACCAAGGTTGCATTCAATCATATTTTTTCCATTAGATCATGCTTCTGTGGAGTTCCTAGCCTCTCACTGGAAGATCCTGCTGGATCTTGAACTGCAGTGAGTGTCCCTTACATTCATTAGTAGCTTATATTGGAAGCAAAGGCTTCTGAGCTTTTCAGCTGTTGCTCAACAACATTATTCTTAGGCAGGAAGGTGAAAATTTATTTACTGAAAGTAAAATATTTGTTCTGGCCAGAATGCTATTTTTGCCACTAGCACTGATGCCTTTTAGATGAAATTTTGGTAGTAGGCTAGTAAGCCTGTAATTACAAACACAGGTGAATTTAATAAAAATTCAGTCTGTTCTCATTCCTTTTGGTGTAAATCCAGAGTATTTTATTGAAATCTATTGCCATCTGACTAAACTTTGTTTCCAGGGGCTGCCAGTGTACACAGCATTTGGTGTTATCAGCCCAGGTATATTTAGATTTTCCCATCATCATAGAAAGCAAGGAAAAGGAACCAATCTACTTTCCAAGTAGCCAGGTGATATAAACTCACATTACTAATTTGACAATTATCTGGTCTGGTAATTATGACCAATGGCAGCATCAACAATAATAATAATTAAAATAATGAAAAACTGACCTCCTGAAGGAAGTATTTCTGTCCCTTACGTGCAGACAGACTGAACCCAAGGGGTTAAACAGCCTGTCCAGCAATCCCACTCTGAAATTTCACCTCCCTTTTTGAATGTCCCAGAATTTCCAGTTGTGATCTCCTAAATGGAGGCATTGGAAGTGGCAGTCAGAACTTGTTGGGGAGGTTCTGAGTGTGCTGCACCGACAATGCCAAGCACTTGAATGCAGATGCTCTGAGCTCAGTGGTAGCTGCCTGTATTTAGCAGCTAAGCCTAAGATTTCTGCTTTACACTTTTGGATCCGGCCTGGGCTTTTTCCATGTCAGAAATTATTTAAACAGCTATTAGGCCTGCAACAAATTGCAGTGGAAAGATCAACAGAGCATGGAGAAGCTCTGTTTACAAGGTACCAGTGACCACTTGCATAACAAACCTGTCAATGATTTATGAAGTGTGCAGACATGGTAGCACAGAAAGTCTCACTCAAAACAATTGATTACTCATTGCTGCATGGTTTCAGTGATCTCCTCATCTTCCTGGATGTGCTGGACAGCAGGAAGGCCCTGCCCTTCTCTTTAGCACCTGATGATCTTTGGACAACTTTGCTGCCCTCTCTGTAAATGAATGTCAGCTTTCCTACACAAGGACAGGGCTGGCTACTGAAGTACAATGCCTGTTTTATTTGAATGTTCTCTGGGAAACAATTTAGAGAGCATCTATATCCAACAATTCCTGTGCTACAGTCTTTGTACCTTGGAGAGTTAGGTCAAGGGTTTTGGATCAAAGCCTACCTGAGACTGCACACATCATGGGGCCCATGCAGAGAAGCATTGAATTTCTTGCTTAAAATTGGCTGTTAAATGCAAATGCATCCTCCTTTGTGTCCAAGCTGAGTGTTCTGTATTTTCTCCAGGCAGCAAACTGTTGAACAGATTCCACTTCATTTCAAGATCTTTCCATCAGGCTCCTGATGAATTCATTAAGCTATATATTCATTACAGGTGATGAAAGGTATATAACCTTTCCAGAAAGGAAGTAGTCTGCTCCATAAATAAATCTAGTTTTGGAAATTAAAGATGTGCTAGCATGAAATACCTGGATCCAACAGTGCTGAAACATGAGCAAAGTAATTGTAATGTCAGCTTTGGAAGGAGGTTGCTCACAGTGGAGTGGATGAACCTTGTGAAGTGTCCTGATGGTCTGAAACTTCAGGCTTTGCTGGATCAGGAGAGAAAGTACATTCCTTCCCAGATTTTTCTCTCAGTTGAAGCTTGATCGTGGTATTGCTGTTAAATTTGTTGGCAGAGGGAATTGCCCATGGGTGCACTTTCTGTAGCAGTTGCATACCAATGAAAAATGTTCTATAGCCATGGCAGCGTTAGAGGATCTCTGTGGTTTTCCTTAATGACTGGACACAGTCCTGTGAAAAGTATATTAGGATACAAATGTAATCTGCATTTGTGAAAAATCAAACATCCTAGCTAAGACCTGAGCAGATCCTCCTCAATGCTGATTGTGAACAAGGTATGAACCAGGTCTAGTAAAGAGAAATATAAATTAACATCATATGAAAGCTGTAGTGTTTTAAACCTGTAGTTGTTTTACACTGTAATACCAATACATGATACAACCAACTTAAATGCTACTATAATTCTATTTAAATTGGGACTGTCCCTCCCCACTCTTTCCCAGTAATTCCATTTCGATCTTGTGCAAAAGATTTTGCCCTGGATGAAGCTCTCAAAAGCACTGTCAGGCTACTGTGGACAAAGGGGCTACAG